TCTATATATACATGTATGTCAAATAACAACTTTGTATTTTAATATGTCCAGTTCATTTCCAAAAGGCACATGAAACAGAAAATGCAGGAACAGCAACAACTTCAGTGGTAGGTTACAACAATTGTGATTTTTAGCTCTTCTGAGCCAAAGGCTCAAAGAGCTAATGCTATGGCCATTTGTGCGGTGTGCGGTGTGCGTTAACTTTTTAGAATATGGGCCATAACTCAAGAACCCCTTGGCCAATCAGTGTCAAATTTGTCACAGGGTATCCTTGGCCCAAGGGCTACCATTTGTACTAAAATAAGGGTTGGGACCCTAAAACAAGGGGAGATAATCAGGAAAACAAAACCAAAAGTACTGGTTGCAAAAAAATCTTCTTCTCCAGAACCACCAGGCAGATTTTCACCAAACTTACATACAATGATCAGAATATGTTGAAGATTAAAAATTGTTCAAGGCATGACCCTGGGCAAAGGGCGTGGTCTCAAGGTCACTTCAAAGTTGACCTAAATTTACAATTAATGAAAATGTCTATATTTTCTTACTCTCTGTATAAGGACTACAGTCATCAAATCTTGTAAGTTGATGCATCTTAGGACTTCACATCATGTTAACTCAAAAGTAGGCCACGGTCACCTACTTTTTAATTTTGCGGGCATTTGTTTTTAAATTGATTTGGATACATATTTTGGACACTTTAAGGCCTATGATGAGTTGATGCATCTTGGGTCCTTAAACAACGTCAACTTAAAAGTAGGTCACCGTGACCTACTTTTTTAACTTTATGGCTCATCCTTCTTGAAACATTTAATCCCATTATTTCAGACACTGAGAGGGTTAGAATCATCAAATCTTGTAAGTTGCTGCATCTTCGGACCTTAAAACACATTTAAGAAAAAGTAGGTCACTGTGACCTACTTTTAGAATTTTGCAGGCTTTTTTTTTTCAAATTGTTTAAAAGGCATATTTTGATTACCTTCAGACCAACGATCATCAAACTTGGTCAACTGATGCATCTTGGGACTCTGAAGAATGTACAACCGAATGTAGGTCACTGTGACCTACTTTCGACATTTTATGGCTAGATTTCAGTATCTTAGGTATTTATTGGCTTAGAATCATCAAACTTTGTGAGTTGATGCATCTTGGGTTTTTGGAGAGTGACAACCAAAAATTAGGTCATGGTGACCTACTTTCAATATTTTATGGCTATATTTATGTATCTCCAATACTTATTGGACTAGAATCATAGAACTTTTCTATAGTAATACATGTGGGTTTTCGGAGAATGTCGACCAAAAAGTAGGTCACGGTGACCTACTTTTGACATTTAATGGCTATATTTATGTATCTCTGGTACTTATCGCTTTTAGAATCATCAAACTTTGTTAGTTTATGCCTCTTAGGTTTTCAGAGAATGTAGACCAAAAAGTGGGTCACAGTGACATACTTTTGAATATCTCAGGTATTTATTGGCTTAGAATTATCAAACTTGGTCAGCAGGATGCATCTTAGGCCTCTGATAAATGTCAACCAAAATATAGGTCACAATGACCTACTTCTGACATTTTATGGCTATATTTAAGTATTCTCCAGTACTTATCGGATTAGAATCATCAAACTTTGTCAGTTGATGCATCTTGGGTTTTCGGAGAATGTCGACCAAAAAGTAGGTCACGATGACCTACTTTTGACATTTTATGGCTATATTTAAGTATCTCAGGTACTTATTGGCTTAGAATCATCCAACTTTGTTAGTTTATGCATCTTGGGTTTTCAGAGAATGTCGACCAAAAAGTAGGTCACGGTGACCTACTTTCGACATTTTATGGCTATATTTAAGTTTCTCTGGTTCTTCTGGCTTAGAATCATCAAACTTTATTAGGATTGATACATCTGGGTTTTCCAAGAATGTAGACCAAAAAGTAGGTCAAGGTGACATACTTTTGAATATCTCAAATACATATTGGCTTAGAACCTTCAATCTTAGTTTGTATATTAATGCATCTTGAGTCCTCAGAAAACTTCGATCTGTAAAGTGTGACACAGTGACCTACTCATGTTTTTTTTTACAGCTTTATTAAAATATCTTCAGTCCTAACTGGCTAAGAATCATCAAACTTTTTATCAGTTGATGCAACTTAGGTTTTAGGATACTAAGGGTTAGAGGCTTCAAATACAAGTGATAGGTTGTACAATTTATCAGAAGAGCAATTCAAGGCCCTTGGGCCTCTTGTTCAAGATTTATTGTTTTTTAGGGATGGTATTCATACACTAAAACAGTTAATTTGTGAACTTTTAAGAACTTCTTTATTTTTGGAATTTGACCAATCTGTAAAATTTCACAGAAATTACCCATCATACAGAATTGCATAATACTGTAAACCAACTTTTATTCGCGTGCAAGAATTTTGCGGAGTTTGCGAGAACCTCTTTATTGCGAATTATACTTGCCGTGAACTGGTCCTTTTAGTATATTTATCTATTAAAAACAGATACAAAAAGACTTAATCGCGAAAATTGATCGTCGTGAACTAGTTTATGTCTGGTAAATCGCGAATTAAAGTCGTCGCGAATAAAAGTTGATTTACAGTAAGTGTAAACAGTAACTGCTGTATTGCCATTTCTTTTTCTTACAGGCTGGCCCCAGGATAGATCTTCCTGAATTGTCAGTAAACTGGAGAACCGGCGGGGCAAATTTTCAGGGGGACAACTTCCAACAATGGAAAATCAGGGACTCCCTCTTTCTCTGGATTCCAAGTTAAGTTTTGGTGTTTCTGATGATGTTTTTAGCACAATTAATGACTTGGAAAGTAGACCAAATTTAACGTTCAGTAGAAAAGGGCGAGGAAGCAGGACGGACCCTAATAGTACACTATGTAAAGTCGCCAAACTGTCCTCGACTGCTTCTGTGCATTCAGACATGGGCGAGTTTTCAGGTCAGAGTTTGACTCATTCCACTGGGGAGGGAACCAGTGCTAGTGAATCTGATGATACGAGTTTGTCCCACCTCAAACCGCTCGCAGGGGGAAAATGTAAACGGTACAAGCGAACTCAGGAAGCGTTACAAAGCTCGGGACTTCTGGACGTGACAATGAAGACAGCCGAGCTAATGAAAAAGAAATAGGCAGCTACAAAAAGACATTCGGGATTTCAAACAAGAAACGGTGGAGTTTCTCAAGACTGTTTTACAGAATCCCGAAAATAGTGAATATGCTAAAGTTATTCATGGCAAAAAAAATGGACATTAGATAGTCATACATATATGGGTATTGGGTTAAAAAGGGGAATAAATCAAAATGAATGGAAATTTCAAGAATTTTACATTAGTAATAATTACAGTGGACCTTCAGATATCCGGACCCCAGATATCCGAATATTCAGTATCCGGACGACTTTCTCATCGGAACGAAATTTGTAAATGTAATTTAATCCTGTTTTACTGGTGATTCAGGTATCCGGACGCTTCACATATATGGACAAATTGACTGGGGACCAAAGCGTCCGGATAAATGAGGCTCCACTGTAATCAATGAAACAAATAATAATAAGCCATGTATAATGACGAATATTGACTGAGAACTAGTTTTATAAAAAGTTTAAACAATAAAAACCTTAAAACTGAATAATTGGTTTTGGCTTGTAATTAATTATTTACACAAAATTTTATTTACTTTGAATGAAAGCTCAAATTTCTTGAAAACAAAATCAAATACTTTAACTAACTTTATGAAACATAATAATAAATTGTAATTACTTTTAAATTAAAAGAAAAGAAAAAAAAATACATAAACTATTTTACCTGAAATTAGACACAGGGAAGCGCGAAGTAAAATATTATTGCTTTATTCAGGTCTACGATAAGAATGACCGAAAAAGGGTACGCAATCTAAATCGGAGACCCGGGCTTCCCTGGTCAATTTCGGCCAATCAAAATTTTGTTTCTTTGTTCTCAAATAGTTTCGTTAATTGAAATCGCTATTAAGTAGATCACGTGACCGTGATCTCCGGACACTGACCATTATCAATTAATACATTCTAACACAGGTAATCCCCTAACAAAGAAAAATCTATTGACACCTGAGTATATCTTGACTTTGACACTAGGTAAAAAAAGATGAAAGGAAACCCTAAAGGACAATTGCAAACAACTTAACACCTAACTGCAAATTCACTCTAACCTCTGAATAACAAATTACATCATTATACATTTTTGTGCCATTGTTACCAAACATTTCTAACTGATGAAGTTTTGATAAGTAAATTGAACAGATTGAATTATTTGTCTTGAATAACACATTTTTTTTTGGCAAACTGAATTGACATTAATTTATGTACGTAAATGTAACAATTATTTTATATAAATCTTTCATACTTAATCTCATATAAACCGGTAAATACATGAAATACTGCTGTACTATATACAAAAAAAATAAATAATAATAAAATATTACTTGAACGAGAAAATCTACAATACTACTTCATTATTCTACACTATGTTAATACCTAATAAGGACACATATACCGGTACACATACATAGTCATTAATCATAACTGTCTTTCCTGATATACTTTATTTTATCAAATAAAATATACAACATGACTATCTTCCCCCTTGCTCCAATTACTTTCGTCCCGAAAGCTCAAATTTCTACTAATAAAAAGTTTCGTACAATACTGAAAACATGAACAACAAAAATTTGAAAAAAGTTTGTAAAAAAATTTTCTAAACATATGTACAATAAACCTAAAGTTTACTATAATAAAAGGAAACACCTTCAAATAAATGGTACATTGGTTGAAACAATCAAAATATGTACAATGTCCACTCAAAAGTTATGTACCTAGAAATATTTCATAAAAATATGCCACTGAAATGATGAGCAATTAGAATGAACATATAACTGAAACAGTACATAGAAAAAAAAAAATTGATATATCAGGAAAAATATTTTTAGTAAAGTTTTGTGATTCTGTTTTGTTAATAGAATTATCACGACATTAAATTAATTGAAATGAGTGAAAAAAAAAAAATAAAGGAATAAGAAATAAGACAATTTGTCAAATTAATCTTTTCTGTTTAGGTCATTTAATGAAGTGTGGTTTTATTCTGTCTTTTGTAAGTGAAATGCATATTGGTTATGTACAATTATGACGTATGCTCGGAATGGTTGTTTGAGAATTTTGCTTACCCTGTAGTGTAACCAACAATTTATTGAAAATTTGGATGGAACTTGTATAGTTGTTTGTGTTTGTTTGTCTGTGACTGAAAAGTTGGACCAAGTAGCATACACTTTGCATGTTGGAAAGCTTGAGACTGAAATATCTGTAATTGTAGGTTTTGTGATGGTATAGTATGATGGACATAATGATAATTGTGTAATTGGGATGATCACACAGTCTCCCCCTGAGGTTAACTCAAGTGCTACAACTGACCCTTTTTTACACTTAGCTTTATACAGGAGATACACAACCATAACAAGGATTCCTAAAACAATGACAGATATTATAACTGAAGCATGTACCCATGTGAACTCACTTAACCAATCAGTGGTATCATTTGGAGGTGTGGCCGTGACAGGTTTTCTATAAATAAATGAGGGGATATCCTTAGAGGAAGCATGTTGGACCTCTTTCAAAATTAATAAGGTAGTGCAAATTTTTCTGACCTTGATGCATAATAAGATACATACTACTAAGCATAAAGCTGCTAAGCATAAAGACACTAAAGTAATGATGTCAGAGGTATTGGGCCATTCCTGAGGAATTTCAATTTGGCCATCTAACAAAGGTTCAGCAAGAGATTTAAAAATTTTCTGGTCGTTCTTTACTGCTTTGGCTATTTTCTTCAAATTCAAATGGGCTTTTTGATCATTGGCTAAAACATCATGCATAGTATGGTTGTAAAATACAAATTCAGGAATGGGCATATTTATAGGTGTTTGGAAAATAAGTATTTCCAAAAACATAACTTAAGGGTTTAGATGTGTAATAGGCCACTTCCGGTTAAAATGCCGAGGTTTGACATCGGCAGTTCTAGGAACATCTATCTTCGTACACAAAAATGGCGCGTCGTCAAGACGGCCTAGGACGTTGTATCATAAAACATACACCAAAGGAACGGATTATAACTAATCAAAGGAAAGAATTAATATGATATTAAATAGAAAACACCTTAATATACTTTGGTTTGCCAAAATATGCAGTCAAAACGATGTTATCTCCATATACACACTACAAGGGTTTTTCCAACTTCTAAAAATAGCACCGATTTCGAAAAAACAAACGAAGTAACTTTTCATTGTAATTTTGTGATTCTCTTAATATCAGCTAACAGTTTGAGAGAATAATTTATGTTATAATATCAATAGCATGGCGTTTATTGTGGAATTTGCAATTAATCGACAGATGTTGCATCATACATTGTATAATCCCTACATAATGTAATATGCTGGAAATGTGCAAACCTGTGGCCGTGATAAATGATTCTCAGGATTTGTGAAATATATCGATGATGTCTAGAAAAATAATTGACAAAACAGACTAAAATATCTAGATACTCATTAATGTCACGTTCAATTATCCATGTTATCATACATGTACGTGAAATTTCCGAGATGATCAAAATAGATCTATCTGTAAAAAAAATGTAATATTTTATATGTGTAGAACTTTAACAAAAAAAAAATAATAATAATATCAGTTATGAAAACAAATAATTTATTCTGGATAAGGTCAGGGTGAATTTTATGTGTTTGGTTTTTTTTATTTATTTATTTTTTGCATGAGTTTAGCCGCGTGGGAAGGAGGGGGTGTTTAACATATTTATATATACATATTTTATTAATTTATAATAAATTGAGGCACAATTTTGTTTTTAAAACCCTTTGATCAGTGTTTCGCGATCGGTCAGATATCTTAGCCTTCATTGTAAAGTAAATATAAACTATGAAGAACTTTATACACATGGGAACTGCAAAAATGTAGTAAGCCCTATCTAGGTCAAGGTCACTGTGAGAAGAGGTCAATTTTCTGATGAAATGAATCTAATGTAAATTGAGTTGAGTATGACAATCATCATTTGTTTATGTATGCTCAAACTCATTAGTTCATTCATTACAACCTACCCTATACCATGAACAAAAAAAAATTATGCCTTACATTTTCAGGGGGTACATCACTCTGATGTAGAATATAGAAAAATATTGTGGATAGAATACTTCTTTTTTGTGGTTATATTATCACAAATACATGTCACACAAAATTTACAATGTTTTCTTATTGATCATCCCTACCATATTTTTCTTTGGCAGAATATTATAAACGTTTTTATAACAGTAATTGCTAAAACTGTCACTGGAAGTAGACAAGTTCTCTTCATGACAAGTATTCATTTATCATACCTGATGACTTAGAACTATAAAAAATTAAATGTCTACAATCCTAGGGCTTATTGTTACAGTTAAAGACATGAAACATTAAACTGTTCTCTGGCTAACTAGAAAAATGACATCTCTACCCTTTGTCCATTAAGGGTGCACCACTGGCGAGAGGGTACACTTTGCATTAAATGAGCGCATAAGAAATATGTATGGACAAAATTGCATGAAACTAAGGGAAATATTGCCGAAAGTGTCGTTCATTATAACTATGCTTAATTTAATCATATGCAAGGTCATGACTATTACACCCCTAATACCTTAATTTTAGACTCATCAAAAAATTCTTGTAATAGGGCTAAATTTACAAGATGAATAGCAGAGAAATTTGATGATGACTTATAACAATTGACCAAGCGTGGTGCAAAGAACAATGCTTCTGTGGATAATGAACACCTACATGGAATATGCAATACACAAAAAGCACAACCTTTCAAAACCTTCTTTTCTTTTGGGCAATCTAGGACTACAGTGGGAGTGTTATATAACAGCACAGAAGTTGGAGATAATTCCAAAATGTTTGATTTTAACAGATTTTGAAGGTATCTAAAGTTGCACAACTCTTTAATTTTTCGAACATCATTTGCGAACAGAGCCATGGTACAATCAGGGACAGTTATAGGCGACTGGGCCCAATTAGAATAACATAAAATAGAAGTCCCATGTACGCAATCTGTCAAATCTTTTGAGTTTAAAGACAGAAAATAATCATGATGAGGTGTGATCGCAAAATAATCTGACAAGGACAACAGTTGTGTAGCTTGCATTTTAGAGGTAACATTTTCTGAAGTGGGTACAGGCAGACTGATTACCTTATATAAATTCAATGGAAGTCTCTAGGAAAAAATGGAAATTTTACCGTGATAAACAAATTGTTATTATGTCTTGCAAACAGAAATTTTCCACCTGAATAGTAAGAAAGAGGCATCAAGTTGAATCAAATAGAATTTCTAATATGACAGTCTTGCGGGAGGAGGTCACCTTGGAATAGAAAAGGTAAACACAGCTCTTTACCTTAAGTATTATTGGCCTAGAATGCATAGTGACATTGTGGAGTATGTAAAGTCATGTGACAGATGCCAAAGAGCAAAACGCGATTATAACCCTGCAAAGCCACCAATGCAAACACTTCCACCTGCGAAAAAATTTGAACGATGGCACATAGACATCTCAGGTCCGTTGTATAAAACAAAAGAAAGCAATGAATACATTTTACTGTGTGTGGATGCGTATTCTGAGATGGGTTGAAGGGTTTCCATTGAAAACTCAAAGTGCTGAGGAAACTGCAAGAGTGCTTTTCAAAGAGATTTTCTCTAGATAGGGGCCCCAAAGTTTTATTTTCGGACAGAGGTCGAAAATTTATGTCAAAATTAGTAAATGCACTTTGTGAAATTTTTGACATCACTCAACACCACACTTCGGCTTACCACCCCAAAACAAATGGTTTAGTTGAAAGGCAAAATAGCACTCTTGCACAATCCCTCAGAGCTTACTGTGGAAACGCTCAAGAATAATGGCCAGACTTGATTTCAACCATCTTAATGGCCTATCGGAAATCACCATCCTCACACTCTACAGAATTTTCCCCTTATTTGTTAGTGTTTGGGGAAGAAATGAACCTTCCTTATGATGTTGCCCTTGACCCAATTGAAAGCATGGGTAGAGATGCTAAAGCCTACATAGGAAGGAGTTTTAGAAAATATGAGAGTGTTTGACAAAATCGCTAAGGAAAATTTGCATGGCATCAGTCTCAAAACAAAATTAGACATGACTTAAACTCAAATATACCAGACTTCAGCTAGTTGATCAGGTTCTTATCAAGGTCAACAAAGTTCCAAAGGGGTTGTCAAGTAAATTGTATGACAAATCGGATGGACCATACCGAATTGTGGAAATGGGTCCTAATTTACTTACAAACTTCGTAGATGTAATGACAACAAATTGCATGGGTCAATGATGAATGCTTCAACTTGAAACATTATCATGACCCAGAGGTCACGAGACCTACTTTTCATAATCCTATACAACAAGGTCAAAGGGATGCTGTACAAGGTCAAACTCAAAATCAAAATGTCCAACCACAAGGTCAACCAGCAGTTCAGCATCAACAGAATGATGTTGATAGTAACAATGATACTGATATGGTGCAAGATGACGGTTTAGGTCAACTATTTGATGATCAAGGTGAAAATGTAGATCATCAAAATGGTTCTACTGATGATCAAAGGTCAATAAATGAGTCCATAGACTCAGGTCAAAGGTCAGATGAGGATTCGGATACTCCGGAGGAGGAGATGTATCATCCACAAAAAAGTGGAAATTTAAGAAATTTTTTAGAGGTCGCTTCAAAAATGGTAGAAGAGAAATTTACATTGAACGGGAAGATGGTTCCAAGACTTGGGAACCAGATCAATGTTTTGACAATGAGGTCTTAGAAATGATAAATCACAAGTTTACCAAACTTGGCACAGTTAAAAATATTATTTTCAAGAGGAATTATTAGTTTTCTGATAAGTAAGCAAGAAAAATACAACAATTTAATTCAGAAAAAAAAGATTTTTTTTATTGCTCAATGCTACTTTACAATGCCAAAACTTGTTGTACCGCATTAAGTATTGAGGTAACCCTATGTCAATATTAATTATTTACACAGAATTTTACTTTGAATGAAAGCTCAAATGTCTGTCTTGAAAACAAAATCAAATACTTTAACTAACTTTACGAAACATAATAATAATTTGTAATTACTTTTAAATTAAAAGAAAAGAAAAAAATACATCAACTATTTTACCTGAAATTAGACACAGGGAAGCGCTAAGTAAAATATACTGCTTTATTCAGGTCTACGATAAGAATGACCGAAAAAGGGTACGCAATCCAGGGCTTCCATGGTCAATTTCGGCCAATCAAAATTTAGTTTCTTTGTTCTCAAATAGTTTCGTTAATTGAAATCGCTATTAAGTAGATCACGTGACCGTGATCTCCGGACACTGACCATTATCAATTTATTGACTCTAACACAGGTAATCCCCTAACAAAGAAAAATCTACTGACACCTGAGTATATCTTGACTTTGACATTAGGTAAACAAGAGGCCCATGGGCCACATCGCTCACCTGAGAAGCTTTGACCATTCTGTTCTTTACCAGATTTCACCCTTGTTACACATAATGCATCCCCATCCTACCCCACTGATCATAATTTAGACATTTTGAAATCTACACTACCCCATGATCCTTCCATGGGCACATATGTTTCAGCTTTTTTGGCCCAGTAGTACTGAGAAGAAGATTTTCAGAGATTTTACCTATATATTTCTATGTAAAACATTGATTCCCTATAATGGCCCCGCCCTTACCCCGGGGGTCATGATTCCTACAATTTTGAAATTAATACTACCCAGAATGCTTCCACATAAGCTTCACTTTTTCTGGCCCAGTGGTTCTTGAGAAGAAAATTTTCAAAGATTTTTCCTATATATTTCTATATAAAACTTTGATACCCCATTGTGGCCGTGCCCTTCCCCTGGGGGTCATGATTTGAACAATTTAGATTCTACACTATACCAGGATGCTTCCACATAAGTTTCAGCTTTTCTGGCCCAGTGGTTCTCTGAGAAGAAAATTTTCAAAGATTTTTCCTATATATTTCTATGTAAAACTTTGATTCCCCATTGTGGCCCCACCCTTCCCGGGGGTCATGATTTGAACAATTTAGAATTTACACTATACCAGGATGCTTCCATATAAGTTTCAGCTTTTCTGGCCCAGTGGTTCTTGAGAAGAAGGTTTTCAAAGATTTTTCCTATATATTTCTATGTAAAACTTTAATTCCCCATTGTGGCCCCACCCTTCCCCCAGGGGTCATTATTTGAACAATTTAGAATCTACACTATTCCAGGATGCTTCCATATAAGTTTAGCTTTTCTGGCCCAGTGGTTCTTGAGAAGAAGATTTTCAAAGATTTTCCTATTTATTTCTATATAAAACTTTGATTCCCCATCGTGGCCCCCCCCTTCCCCCGGGGGTCATTATTTCAACAATTTAGAATCTACATTATACCAGGATGCTTCCACATAAGTTTCAGCTTTTCTGGCCCAGTGGTTCTTGAGAAGAAGATTTTCAAAGATTTTTCCTATATATTTCTATGTAAAACTTTGATTCCCCTTGGCCCCGCCCTTCCCCCGGGGGTCATGATTTGAACAATTTAGAATTTACACTAAACCAGGATGCTTCCATATAAGTTTCAGCTTTTCTGGCCCAGTGGTTCTTGAGAAGAAGATTTTCAAAGATTTTTCCTATATATTTCTATGTAAAACTTTGATTCCCCATTGTGGCACACCCTTCCCCGGGGGTCATGATTTGAACAATTTAGAATTTACACTATACCAGGATGCTTCCATATAAGTTTCAGTTTTTCTGGCCCAGTGGTTCTTGAGCAGAAGATTTTCAAAGATTTTTCCTATATATTTCTATGTAAAACTTTGATTCCCCATTGTGGCCCCACCCTTCCCCGGGGGTCATTATTTCAACAATTTAGAATCTACATTATACCAGGATGCTTCCACATCAGTTTGAGCTTTTCTGGCCCTGTGGTTCTTGAGAAGAAGATTTTCAAAGATTTTTCCTATATATTTCTATATTAAACTTTGATTCCCCATTGTGGCCCCGCCCTTCTCCCGGGGGTCATGATTTGAGCAATTTAGAATTTACACTATTCCAGGATGCTTCCATATAAGTTTCAGCTTTTCTGGCCCAGTGGTTCTTGAGAAGAAGATTTTCAAAGATTTTTCCTATATATTTCTATATTAAACTTTGATACCCCACTGAGGCCCCGCCCTTCTCCTGGGGGTCATGATTTGAACAATTTAGAATCTACACTATCCCAAGATGCTTCCACATAAGTTTCAGCTTTACTGGCCCACTGATTCTTGAGAAGAAGATTTTTTAATGACCCCACCCTATTTTTGTCTTTTCTTGATTATCTCCCCTTGCGAGGGGATATGTCCCTTCATTTTAACAATTTAAATTCCCCTTTACCAAAGGATGCTTTGTACCAAGTTTGGTCAAAATTGGCCCAGTGGTTCTTGAGAAGAAGTCGAAAATGTGAAAAGTTTACAGACGGACAGACGGACGGACGGACGACGGACAAAATCATTGTCAAAATGTGATCAGAAAAGCTCACTTGAGCCTTCGGCTCAGGTGAGCTAAAAAGATGGAAGGAAACCCTAAAGGACAATTGCAAACAACTTAACACCTAACTGCAAATTCACTCTAACCTCTGAATAACAAATTACATCATTATACATTTTTGTGCCATTGTTACCAAACATTTCTAACTGATGAAGTTTTGATAAGTAAATTGAACAGATTGAATTATTTGTCTTGAATAACACATTTTTTTTTGGCAAACTGAATTGACATTAATTTATGTACGTAAATGTAAAAATTATTTTATATAAATCTTTCATACTTAATCTCATATAAACCGGAAAATACATGAAATACTGCTGTACTATATACAAAGAAAAAAAAATAATAAAATATTACTTAAACGAGAAAATCTACAATACTACTTCATTATTCTAAACTATGTTAATACCTAATAAGGACACATATACCGGTACACATACATAGTCATTAATCATAACGATAGTCATGTTGTATATTTTATTTGATAAAAAAAAGATATCAGGAAAGACAATATATACTCTTCAAAAAAAGAAACGCATAGCAGAATTTTAGTGAAACATTAAAATGAAGATTTTTAGAAAATGATGCATTGATAAAACAGAAATGTGGTAAG